AACATGGTGACCAACTTGAGACACGGTATGGATATGTTATCAAGGAACTCCACTTGAGTGCGGGGCTGTTCGTCTATTTTGAGCCTATCCATGAGGGCGATGGGCTCCCGGCCCGCCTGGCGCTCGCTGTCGCCCATCGCGTAGAACTCCTCGAATAGCTCTTTGGTCTTCACGCGAGTCTCAGCCCAGGGAAGGGCTGTCGAGTTCAGGTCAGCCCCGTTCATGGCCAGGGATGACAGTAATAATCTAGGTGGCAATTTGGATATTTTAAGATTTTGAAGTTTTAGCATGCTTGAGAAACTGTAATTATGTATTTGGGAATTATTAAATTGTTATAAAATATTTTTATGTATCTTACAATGGTGATATTCGGATGCTAATATTTTTAAAAATTAATTCGATTTCTATATTTATTTTATTATGATCGTGGCAAATGTTACTTTTATATTATACTTTGTGCTATAATATTTGGTGTAGTCTTTCATAGTCACTACTTAATTTACCAAGATTACTAGATGTATATATCATTTAATAATTTAATTAACATGTATAGTTAATGAATATATTCAAAAAAAATGTTCTAGTTACTGTGATTTGTATGTATATTTTGCAAAATTCCTAAAAATCTATAATTAAAAAGCACTATATCATTGCATTGGATAAACATATACTGGTACATACAGTATATCTACTAATTTATATTGTATTATTACAACTTATATTCAAAATATCTTAACACCATGTTTATCAACATGTTCACTGATAACTTACTTATGATCCGGGTTACACCAGTCAAACACCCCGTTGCTGGCAATGGTGTCCAACTTTTTCTTATTAGCGAAATACTTAGCCATATCTGTGGCCAGAATATAGTGTTTAATATTCGCCAAAACAGTCTTATAGTCCTCTGACGACATGTTTTTCAATACATTCATTCCGTTTTGCTATCAAATCGAGAAAAAAGTAAAAAATAATTACTTTTAAAATTTTAAAAATTACTTTTTTGGACACACTTTTTACGGAGAGTTGCCTATCATTTGAGGCATACTATAGCCATCTATTAGAAAGTATTTACACTCCTATAGTAAAGTACATGCAAACAATGTTTTACTATAGGAATCAATAGTAATGTAATTATAAATTTATTTATATAAAATAAATTAGCACTATAAAATTGTCTAACACATAATTCAATTCTAAATAACATGTTAGATTATTTGATCAAGTTAAATATCCATTGATAATAAGTAATATTATTTATTTTTTGTTTAAATTATTTATAAACTGTATCCTAATATAAGACATACCTATGAAGGGTATATAAAGGTTTAAGCAAAGTAAATAATTTGTATGTGAATGTACGGGAAATGATGAATTGTATGCTTAATACCTAGCCCATTCAGTCCCCCTAAAAAGGGTCTGTATTCATGGCATACCTCACACGGCGATCTAATCCCAGGTTATTTTTTTGTTAAATTATTTTTACAAGTTATATTTAAAAATGATATACATAAAAATAATCAGTGAAATAATTAATTTTACTTTATATATTATGCATTGATTTTATATTATTTTATTTTTATGCAAAACTGGTCATAATTTTAAAAATTAACTAAAATCTTATATTTAATTAATTTTTGATTTGTTGGATGAAATCATTTATTAGATAAATTATATTTTTGTTAATACTCTTATTTCTACGAATTTATCTAGGACAAGTAAACAAGTAAAACTTTAAAACATTTTTAAAAAATAATTAGACAGCCTTATACAGTAAGTAATTACAGACTGTAACTACATACCTTAAAACCACTAAATCGGTATAACACATTATAAATTTTTTACCCTAGCTAATCCGTAAAAAAATTTGTGCAAAATTTTAAATTCTAAAAACATATTAGCCATAAATACCTGTAATATGGACACCGTTTGGTTGAAATGGTGGTACTCTAGCGGACTGGTCGAGTACAGGGCGGCCAACGAGGCGCACGAGTTGATCAGAAACTGATTATTAGTGCCCCTGTGATCCAGGTCGTGGCACAGGCCGGACACGAAAAACGAGAACTTCTCCATAGGTGTAAACCCGGGACAGTCCCGAGTGAACCGGTATATGGTTTGGGCCACGCTGTAGCCGTGGGTCCAATTGTGGTAGGGCACTTTGCGGTAATTTTTGCGCACGGTCAAAGTGAACCGGTAGATGTCGTCCACCTCGCACTTGGTTACCCCGCTGAACGACTGGATCAGTTTGACTGATGAGAGCACCTTCTCGTCGTTGGATAGGGTGTAGGGCGAGAATGCGGGGCTGGTATTAGGGGGTGTAATAAAATTTTAGTATTTTATTTGGTATTACATTTAAAAATTTAAATATTAATGGGAGACGTTGGTGCAGACCAATAAACATGCTTATTAAATTTTAAATGAATTAGTTTAGTTTTTTGGTAAATATGTTACAGTTTGTAGACGTGTTTTAAAAATGTTTATGGTCTGGTAAAATTTAAATAAATTTTGTTGGTATCTATTAGTAAAATTAATGTTTGTTAATTTTATGAAATAAATTATTTAGTTATTTGTTTGCTACTAAAATAAACTGTTTACAGGTAAATTTAAAAAATTTATTCGCGATCATTTTAGGCCAATTTAAAAATGAAAGTATATTTGTAAATTAAATTATTTGAGCACAAATTTACAGTTTTTGTAAAATTCATTTTAAAACTAGAATATATTTCATAAAATAAATAAATAATTATTTAAAAAATTAATTTAGCTTACTCAGTTTCATCGGGCATTGAGTCCAATGGCAACGACTTAATTGTAATTAACTCGTCATTAGTACACGTGTTATGATATGATAGCACTTCTAACGCCACTTTGTATTTCTCCTCAGATTTGTGTATCTTTTCGTATAACTGTTTCGTAACGAAAAATATATCAAAAAATTATTTTTAATAAATAAATAAATAAATAATTCAAAAATGAATTATTCAAGGTAATCGTAAAACTTAATAGATTATTGTGCCAGTCAATAATAGATTTAATTTCTAAATAATCAATTATGCATGCTACTTTAAAATTATATTTAATCAAAAAATATTACGCTATAATTTAATAATGCATTTATAATGGACTTTTACGAAAGCATTAAGATTAATGATCTAGAACAAAATTCAAATATTAATAAATAATTTTCTACTAATATCATAAAGTTCACTGACAACTATTGTATGGCACTAATAAAAACTATAATAGAGTTTAATACTAAAAATATATAATAAATCTTATGACACAATCATTATATCTATAATGGATTGTGAAATAAAGTGATTGATTATGCATATAGAGTTAACTGACCCTGGCATGATCCAGTGCTAATCCACAATAAGTAGCAAATACGGCAAAACTGTCCTCGTCCTCTTTGGTGAACA